TCACAGCCACTCTTTGGGCAGGGCCTGGGGGTCACGGTCACATGTCCTTGGACTTGTCCCCACCGGCCTGGCAGATGGTGGTGATGAAGCCCCAGAGGAACCGCAAGGGTTGCAGGCATCGGCGTGGGAAGCCGGCCCCTGAGCCACGACGGGCTCCCAGGAGCAGCCCTGCGGTGCGGCCGCGGACCCGCCAGCTGAGAAATCACCAAGGCAGCCCAGCTTCTCTGGTGGAGGCATTTCCATGTTCACGTGTGTCTGGTGCGTCCGGACGAGGGCTGCCCGGCAGCGTCAGGTTTCGAGATGACCCACGACTGTGAACCAGATGTAACCTGGGGCTCCTGTCCTCTGCGTTTAATACCGGGACGAGAGCTACACGCTGGAGGGTGTATTTTTCAGAGGACAGAGGGAAGCTCGGGGCCGACCGTAGGAGTCAGCGTCTCTCAGAAGCAGCCGGCACGAGACCGTCCGTCCACGTGATCTGCGTTGACCTTTACAGCGCGCCGGGTCCCGGATCTCACCCTCCCGCGTGGAGGCCGTGCTGGCGTCGGGCTGTCTAGGGTAAGCCCGGCCCGTGCGGGGGGCAGGGGGGGGTTCCCCCTTTTCTTGGGGCCGGCAGTGCTGGCTGCGTCCGCCAGGCGGCAGCCCCTCCCTCCCTGGGTTCCCGCAGGAGGGGAGCCCTTGGCAGGCAGCGCCCGGCCCTGCTTGACCCACAGACACCGAGTGTCTCCCCCGTGCCCCGTGAGATGTACGCTGAATCTTCTGGAAACGCAGCTGCCTGTGAGCTGATGGGCGACACCCTTCCGTACGCTTAGGAGGTCCCCCAAATCCGCCCTCGCTCGGGGCTGATACCCCCACACCCCCGAGGAGCCCGCCCAACAGCGCTGCGGCCAAGGGCTCGGAACGCGGCCCCTCCCCGCCTCCCTGACAGACTGCCGGGCAGCTGCCCCTCCCCCGCTGGCCCGGCAGCCAGCTGCGAAAGGACGGTATCCGTGCCGACGCCGGGGTTTCACTCTGTGTGAGAGGGCGTCGGGGCCACGGGAACCCCCTCCCCCCCCATCCTCCGTCAGGAGGAAGAGACGTGAACAGGACACACGCCGACCACCACGCCGCGCGCGGCTCCCTGGAGACGGAGCCCACGGGTCTGGGCTGCACACGCTCAAGCCGGCCCTGCGGCCAGGTCCACGGCACCAGAGCCCCGCCAGGTACGAGGAGCCCACCGTCACTCCTCAGCTTCAGGGGGAACGTGTTTCTTGCCCTTGCATCCGCGGGCAGATTCTGTTTGAGACCTTGGAGACCAAGGTTTGGAGAGGTTCCACTGCACCGGGGTGAGAACCCCTTAAAGAAGGAAACACAGGTGCTGGTCCCACCTGAAGGGGAGATGAGTGTGCTGTGGTGAGGGACGCGGGGGGAGCCTCAGTCCCGCCAGGACGCGGGCTGACTACCAGCTGAGCTGGCTTTGCTCTCTGCAGACGAAGCCCACTTGTCCAGGAAATATTTACCAAGGAACCACCTGCTGCTCTCAGGACCTGCATGCAGGGCAGACACAGACCAACACCGAGCTGTCAGGTAACGGGGACACTGCAGCTAAGCCCGTGAAGCCAGGGAGCCTGTGGGCCAGGGCCCGGGGGTGGCGGGTGTGACGGAGGGCCTACCAGAGGAGGGCGCCTGCAGCCCGAAGAGGAAACACCGCGCAGAGGGAGCACGTCAAAGGCCCCGAGGCCAGGAGGCCTGAGGAGCCCCAGCACTAGCGAGGGTGGTGACCCGGGCGGGGAGGGTCCGAGAGGGCACCGGGGCCGGCCTGCTGCGTCCGGGAGAAGGCTCACCTCTGAGCCAGCTGTCGATGCTGCCAGACAGAAAGTGACGTCTGACCTTCCCAAACCCGAGAGTGACCTGAAACCTGAGATTCCCCCACAGGCAGGGGAGGGTCACCCCACCGCACCATCGTAGGTGGGCAGTGGGAGACCACATATAGCACCCCCGGGGCCCTTGTTCAGCCTGCACTGAGCGGTTCGGTCACTGTGGCAATGGCGCCCGCCGACCACCGAGCCCAGGGCCGGCCACCGCCTCGGCTGGGGCAGCAGGGCCGTGCCCGTAGCTATGGAGAAGGCTCATGGCAGCTTCTAACTGCAGGACTTCGGACCGTACGTCCCTATGCAGGGGCCGGAGCGGGAAGAGACAGAGAGACGAGGTGGCAGCAAGGAGGCCACGGGGGTCTCCGGGCCCCTGGACGAGTGCAGAGCCCGCCCGCCTTTGCCGATGCCTCTGAGTCATCTGACCCTAACCCACCGCCACGGAGCTGGGCAGAAACCTCCACGGAGCGCAGGCGGCCTCTCTCACGGCTCACGGGTGTCAGACTGAGAACAGTGCCTCGGACCCTCCCCGGGCAGGCTTACTGCACCCTGAGCCCCACTGCCTGGTCTGAGACAGGCCTGGGGACCACGGGAGATGGGGGAAAAGACGGCCACAGCGGGGACAAGAGGCATGGGCTGGGGGGCTCACAGGGCGGGGGAGGAGGGCCACGCCTCACCTGGACGTGGAACGCCCACCCCTGGGAGATGTCATGGAGGGGAGCGGGGGAGCTGGCCACAAGCCCGCCCCCCGGAGGGCCGGTGAGACCCCTGGGGGGGCCCACGGTCAGCCACCAACAGCCGCCGTCTTCTTGTTAAGTCACCGGACTGCCTGACACCGGTGCCGAGTGCAGCTGCCCTTCCTCTTGCTGGCCTGTCCCCAGTGTCCCACCGCCAAGGCTGTGAGGCTTTTCTGCGTCTCACTGCTGGGCACGCCGAGAGCTGGACCCACCGTGCCGGGTCCCCCTCCCCCAAGGACACCCCCTGTGCCGCTCCACGCGGGCAGCATCCACCTTCCCGCCACTCTCCAGACCCTTGAACCTACTCAAGCATCGTCCCCCGAGGTCCAGGGGCCTTGTCCATGGCCTTCCTGGCTGTAACTTCAAGGGAGAAGACAAATGGAGATGCTTTGCAGGATCGCAAACCCCCGTGAAGCCCCTTGAGGCGGCATGGCCAGCCCGAGGGGCCCTCAAGGAAGGCTATGCACTCCCAGGACAGTGACTGAACCTCCCGCCTCAGCTCGGCCACCCAGAGCCTGGCCCAGCGAGTTGGGTACAGAGAAGGACGGAGACGGTGGCCACCATAAGCCAACCCTAACAAGAGACCCCGCCCCGCGGGACCCAGGGCGTGTCGTCCAGCTCTCTCTGCCAAGTGATCTTCACCACCCATGTCCATCGGGAGGGCTCCCCCAGCTTAACACCTCCACCCCGCAGGCATCTGGATCTCCCCCAGCCTCCCCCTTCCCCCGGCACTGATCGGTGCTGACGGGACGACACTGACCAGCACCTTCTGTAGGACAGGTGTTGGGCGGTCAAACTCGCTGTCGGGTCTGTTTCCCAGATTAGACTTAATTCACCGAGCTGTGACCTGCCTTCCGAAACCCGACGGAGGGAGAGTCTGACGGCACCCATGCCCCCAGTGCCTTAGCGGGGCAGCCGCTCGTCTGCTGGGCGGGAGGTCGGCAGCCTCACCCCTTCCGAGGGGGGATCCCCAGGCAGCATCAGCCCCCCGCCCCTCGGCTCCTGGGTGCCACACCGCCCAGCATGGCCGTGGGCTCGGAGGAGGTCTCCCTACCTTTCTGAAGGACGGACCCAGTTCTGCTTATAATAAAACAGAGTGACCCGTCCACACGCACCTGGGGATGCTGGTGAGATAGGTCATGACATTCTGGAACTCCTTGTCGGGGACGTCGCCGAAGGCCGGGTAGTCGGGGAAGGTGATGACGGGGCTGCCGTCCTGCCCCCGCCCACCTGGGGAGAGAGAAGAGCTGCACTCAGCACGGGGGGCGCGGGGTCGCTGCTCCCGGGTCTCGGCAGGACAGTCATTTTCCAGAATGAAACTCACTTTCCATGTTTCGGGCTTTTTTTTTTTTTTTTTTTTTTTTTTGATGTGGACCATCTTTAAAGTCTTTATTGAATTTGTTACAATATTGCTTCTGTTTTTATGTTTTGTTTTTTTGGCCACAGGCAGGTGGGATCTTAGCTCCCTGACCAGGGATCGAACCCACACCCCCTGCACTGGAGGGCGAAGTCTTAACCACCGGACCGCCAGGGAAGCCCCTTCCATGTCTTTTATTATGAGAGAAATGTGTGCTATCGACGGAAATATCTGGAATGAGGTCACGAGCTGAAACAAGCACCCGCTGTTCTGCCACCGCTGGAGCATCGCGGGAGCATGTTTCCTCCCAAACCCACTTCGTGCGCTTTTGTGTGTGACGGACCGCGCTGAACAGAAAGCTGGCATCCTGCTTCCTTCCTGACGGCGTGGACGTTTTCCATGCTCCACAGGTGACGTGAAGAGCATGTAAACATTGCACGTGCCACCAGGCTGCAGCCTGACCGCCTGCACACCCTGTGGCGACTTCGGGCAGACAGCTCCTGTCTGATGGGAGTCACCCCTTCGGCACCGTGTGTGGGGAGGCACAGGTGGAGCCGGCAGGGGGGGCACTTTTCCCAGGGGAGGTGCACCCGACACAGTTCCCGAGGGAAAACGAGGCAGTGGCCTTGGATCTGGGAAGGTGAGCACGGCTCCCCAGGGCCAGGCAGTCGGGAGGGCAGGCGTGGAGATGCAGGCTGGGAGTCTGGGCCGAGCTGTCCCACCGACGACCTGGGCGGCAGTGCAGAGGCCAGGAGGTGAGTCCAGGCATGGTCTGCTGCCAGCCGGTGCCCTGCGCGGCAGGAGATGGCCACCTCTGCTCCTCCGGGGCTGGGTGCTTCCCTCTTCCCTTTGAACCGAGGCTGGCCTGGCCCATCCGAGGTGGCAGAAGTGATGCCGCGTGACTCTCAAGGCTGGTCTGCAGTGAACTTGCAGAGGCAGCCGGCCGCAGACAGCCTGACACAGGCGAGCACCTGGGGCCCCTTACAAGGGCAGACCCAGTTGACCCCTGAAGACCTCTCACTCTATCCACACCAGCTGCTCTGGTGTCCACTGGCAGCATCTGGGCAGTTCTGGTTGTCACTCTGGGGGGTGCTGGCCTCCGGTGCGTGGGGCTGCTCTACGTCCTACAATGTGGGACAGCCCCACGGGGGAGCCGTCCCCCCAGTGTCAGCGGTGCTGGGCTGCGAAGCCAGCCACCCCGACCTTCGCACATGGACACCCTGGCAGGAGGTTACGGCAGTTTGGTCCAGGGCAGGCAGTGGGCACCGTGATAACTGGCCAGGGCGTCCTCACGTTGGGAGGCGGGCAACCCGGGTGTCCTGGCGGGTGGGAGAGGGATGGAGAGGACGAGGGCCACCTCCGCCCCGGGCTCTGCTTGGCCGACCCGCACAGGGTGTCCGCAAAAGCCCAGGACGCTCCAGCTTTGCTCCAGACGCTGGAGCTCAGGATGTGTCGTCTTCTAACCAATTCCCAGCCTTGACGACGTGAACCGACCCGGCCCGTTGGCTCACGCCCTGCAGGTTGGGATGGCGGCGGGCTTGGCGGTCCTCAGCTCAGGGCCTTGCCACCCGCCTGTGGGCTCGCCTGAGCCCGGGGTCACCTTCCAGCCTCCCTCAGATGCTGGCGGAACCCCCTCCCGTGGCTGTAGCGCTGGGGTCGCTTTCTGCCCCCCTTGGCCACCTACCCTCCTCCAGACACCCCCCATAGCCCAGGCCGGCGGTAGGGTATCTTGGTCACATCAGCTCCCTTGTCCTTGGCCCCCCGTGTGCTGGGGGACCTGGGGCCTGTGAGGCCCAGTGGTCAGTGACCTTGTAGCCGCCGAGCTGGGGCCGTGGTTACTTCCGCAAAACCCCCTCCCTGAGCACCCGGCGGCTTCTGAATAACAAGAGGTGTGTCTGGGGGTCAGGGCCCCCCTGGGGTCTCCTCCTGAGGGCAGCGGGTGAAGACCTGAAGGAAGGTCAAGATCATGACCCTGTCCTGTTGGGGACTTTTGTTTCTCAGAAGGACACCCCACTCTCTCTCCTTCCTCCGTGAGGTGGGCGCCCCTTGCGGTGGTGGCCCCTCCAGGAACAGCAGGATGCCATCTCCGCTGACAAACCTCAGAGGCTCAGCTTTCCTGCTCACGGGGCTCAGGCCTCAAGAGGTTTAACCCCAGAGCGACACCGCGGGTCCATGTGTAGGGGGGCAGGTGGGCCAGAGCCACACAGGGCACGGCCTGGGGAGCAGCTCCTGGCACCAAGGGACGGGCAGGTGAGCCCGGGGGCGCAGGACTGGCTCTCGGAGCTCAGGAGAGACCCCAACCTGCTGGCCAGGGGAAAGGGCCGCAAGCAGGGGGCCTTCAACCTCAGGCCCCTGACCGACAGCACAGCGAGCCTCGGTGGGCAGGCCTGCCTGGTGGAGCGGCAACCGCCCTGCTCCAGGCACTGCTCTCGAGCGTGCAATGCTCACGGCCTTGGCGGGCCCGAGGCACCAGCACCCTGGCCGGCCGGATAGGGCAGCAAGATGTCCCTGCAGGCTGGAGACAGAGCCTGGATCCCAGGGGAGGGTGGCAGGTGGACAGGGGCCGGAGATACGGAGCGACCCCAGGACAGGCTTGTGGGCAGTGCCGGCCCCTCGCCCTTGTTGGTGGCACCCCAGGGGCTTTTCCCAGAAGACGGAGCCACGGAAGCCAGACCCCAGGCGCTGGACACTGCACGGGGGCCACTGTGCCACACCTGCACCTCCTCCCCGTCCCAGGAAAGCTCTGGAATCCAGGAGACCACAGCCAGGAGCAGTCGGGCCACGCCCCCCTGGGGACCAGCTGACCCCTGGCCGGCACTTGCCGGCTCTGAGCTGCCCTCATCACAGGCATCAGTGCAATGGGGGGCGGGCCGCACCGCACGGATTGTCCCCAGACCCCACGACGCGGTCACAGAGGGCCAGGAGGTCGACCGCCTGGCCGAGCAGACACTCCCCCGCCCGCGTCACACGGCCTGGCCTTCGCACTCACCAGACAGGTACGCAAAGCGCTTCTGCAGCTGGTCCTGGATGTCGGCAGCACAGAGCGGGCTGATGTCGTGGTGCATGATTTCATCTGCGGGGAGAGCAGAGCAGACGGAAACACGCTGTCATTTGGAGGAAATGGCCTTCCGAGCTACGTCTGGGTCAGGCCCACCGCAGACACTCGAGGGTCCAGCGGTCACGGGCCCGGAAAAAGGGATTCCAGTTTCCAGTAGAGAAACCTTTGTTTCGCAGAGCACAGAAAGCTGTGCACTGAGTGATTCATCGGTACTTAAAGCGTGGTGTGTGTCAGAAGCACAGAGAAAGGCGGAGGGAGTGGAGGAAGGGACAGGGAGGGACATGGGGGGACAGAGGGGGACAGAGGGGGACACGGAGGGACAGAGGGGGACAGAGAAGGACCGGCGGGCAGAGGGGAGGTGGGGGGAGTGGGCCAGGACCGGAGCTGGAGGACTGACCCCGAGATGAGTGCTGGGGGAGCAGACACGCTTTGGTCTGAGAGCACCTACCGACGTCCTGGGAGTGGCTGGGCCGCCTTTGGGGTTCTCGCCTGTTGTCTATGCAACAACCCACTGGTCAGAGTGGAAACCTGGCCATGGCAGTGGGTTCAGACACACATGCGAGCCTCACCCCAGCCTGACACTGACCCTGAGCAGGGCGCTGAGCCCGGTACCGACAGCCGCAAGTCCTAGATCAGGGCCCCGAGTGACCCAGTCACAGCCTGGAGGCGTTGACCAGAAACAAAAGGTTTAGCAAGACTCCTGGTGGAACCCAGACACGGCCAGGGTCTGGGTCCATGCGGGGGCACCAGCAGGTGGCTGCTCGGGGGCCTTCGCGGACCTGTGTCTCTAGTTGCTGCTAGGTTGGTACCACGTGACTGACGGCCCACGTCTCGTGTCTCCAGACCCGGGTGTCCTGGAGAGTCTGCAGCCTTCAATGTTGACACAACTTCTCCACAGAGACTACAACTCACAAATGGCTTAAAAGTCAGCTCTCCTACACCCAGAAGAAGACCCAGGCCCCCAGGGCCTGGTGGTTCAGATCACAGAGACAGTGACCGCCAGCTCAGGGTCAGGGTCAGGGTCAGGGGAGGCCCAGCTCCTGCACAGACCCGCTCTGTGTGCACACAATGCCTCACAGATAACCACCCGACAACAACTTTCCTGTCGCCCAGACGTAAGCGGAGACTCCAGGCAATTACCCAACACAGAGTCACTCTGAGACGGGAGGGGTGCAGTGGGGAGAGGACAGCGCTTCCCTTCCGACTCCTGCAGGGTGGGGGCCGGGGGCGGGGTCTGCAGGTTGACCTGGTCCCTCTGGCACCAGCTCTGGGAGCCCGTCTGGAAGTGTCGCTCTGTCCGGAGCACCGCAGGGGACAGAGGCCCGCTCCCTGTCAGAGGCCAGAGGGAATGACCCCTCGCTGAGCTCACGACATCTCAGTGGTGCGGGGACCCAGCTCAGTTCTACATGAGGACAAAGGGGAAGAAACATCAACCGCTGGAATCTCTGGCCACAAAGTGGTCCCCTGAGTCCTCCTGGTCTGCACAGCAATCGGAGAGTCCGGGGGAGGGGGCACCACCCTTTTATCTTCACACCGTTTCATCTTAACACAATCAGACTCCGGCAGCAAACTTCCTTCCTCTGGCAAACTGACTCGCATATTTTCTTTCTTTAAGGATGAGGATTTCACAATGCAGAGCAGGCCGCATCTGGCCCGTGCTGCCCATGCGAAGGGCCTCCGAGCGGCACCGTGCATGCCAGCGCTGCCTCGGGCCGAGAACACATGCAGGGTTGGGGCTCGAGAGACGCAGGGCGCGTGGACCCTGAAAATCCATGTCCCGGTGGCGAGGGTCTGGGTCAAGGAAGCCCATAGCGCGTGTAGAAGCCTGGCGTTCGTGTTCGAGGCTGGTCCCCGCCTTGCTGAAGCGGGGACAGGAGCCTGAGAAGGGCTCCGACGGAGGGGTCGGCAGCTGGCAAGAGGCCCTGGGCCGCAAAGTCCACTAAGTCTGTTACGAGCTAATTCTCTTCCTTGTTTATATCTGGCTGAACATCCACACCCGAGGCTTTTGTTTATTTTCTATCAAAATACACCCGTGATGCCCTTTCAGAGTCCGAAGTGGAGAGTCCGTGGGGTGGCCTCACCAACTCGCGTGGGTGGGATTCCTAGTCTACCAAGACCCCACCCAGGAAGCCCCAAACCAGAGCAGAGTGTGTGCAGAGGAATGGCCGCAAAGAGGCGACTCCAAGCTGGGGGACGAGGATGCCTGGGGCTCCAGACAGGCTCCGTTCCGGCCTCGGTCAGGCAGGGACCCATCAGCTCCCCGAGTCCCTGGTCGGGCAGGAGAGGCATCTCCATGGCAACCTGTAGTCCACGGGACGGCTCTGGGATTCAGCCCTTCGGATGTTGGAGATCTACACTCACTTGGGCTGAATCCTCTCTCACAGGCCATCCTGGGTATTTTTTAACAAGTTACTCATTACTGGATTAGGCACAAACATTTCACGTCACGAACGATGCATCGTTAACTCAGTTCACCACTGTTCTCCCCGATTTCCTGATCTCAAGACGTGAATCCTTATGTGTTTTAAAATAAAAGGCCCCACGTGGGAAGATGCTTAACCAAACTTGTGCTCAGGGAAGCCCCACCCTCAGCAGAGGGGTTGGCTCCCAGGCACCCCCGCCGGAGCTCAGGGAACCAGCCAGGGCCCAGCTGGCGCCGTAGGAGCTCTTCCGCCTGGGCACCAGGGACAAACCCTGAGCAGAGCCGCGGGAGGCCCTGGGGGACCACAGTGGGCACCATGTGTGCAGACGAGGCCCAGCGGCCTCCTACCATCCAGGCTCCAGACCTGCATCTTCCAAGGCCACGGCCCACTCGGCAGCAGCGTGTCTGCAGCTCAGGCTGCATGGGAATGACTGCTGGGGCCTCGGCGAGGCTCATGTAGAATCCTCATCCCACCCTGCCCCGCCGGCCATGGCCTTTTCAGTCGATCTCAGAGGAGTGCGGGCTTCTCAAGGCCACCCGCCCGCGGGGCTGGTGCTGATCAGACCCTCCTTCCGTGCGCTGGACAGCCAATCAGAGGCCAGGGCTCCCCGGACGCGTCTCCATCTGCCTCTTCACCAACACCCGTTCTGTGAAGGTTCTGGACGTCAAAAGAGACCACCTGGGCAGCAGCTTCGGCCAGGTGGGCCCTGGGGCGCACGCTCCACACCCACGCCAGGGGCCCCGGATACGAAGCTTGCGTGCACGTTTCACAGCCTGGCTCGTGGATATTCACGCCGCACGCTTGGCGGTTTCAGAGCTACAAACAGCTTCTTAAAAAACAGCTTTTGGAACCCTGTCCTGTAGGGTGTCAACTACATCACCTCCGCCACGTCCCGGGCGACGCAGGACATGGCAGACACCTGGCTTAGATGTCGCACTGCCCGCCGATGGCAGACGGCTGAGCCCTAGCGGGCCTCAGAATCCTCTCTAACACAGGCTCCAGGCAGCTCGCCAAGCACGCGGAGACCTGCCCCGACCTGCATCAGTGACCTGCGTCAGCGCATAAGCAACCCTCACACCCACTGACCCTCACACCAGCACAGAGCATTTTCCCAGCGGCTCCACTCACGGTGGGGGGCTCCAGACTTTCATTTCTCTGCACCTTTGGCAGAGCCCCCTCCCCAGTCAGGGAGAGAAGGGCTCCGCAGTCAGACAAACTGCGTTGGCAGGTGGATCTTAACCGCTGCGCCACCAGGGAAGCCCCCAAGGAGAATTCTGACCCGAGATCTTCTAAGGTCTGAAGCTGTGGGCGGAGCAGAGAATGACCTTGCCCTCAGTGAACGGGCAGACGCGCACCTGCAGCCACCTGTGAGCATGGACGGTCCGTTGTCCCCAAGGCTCACACAGAGCTGCTCTGGCCTCTGGGCCACCTCCTCGTCCAGAGGCCATGTTCTATTTTGCAGAATCGCCAGGGTCCCTGGTCTCCTGGGCAGTGGACCAGCACTCCACAGGCAGGTGGGAGCTGTGTGACCTTGGGCGTGTTACCAAACCTCTCTGAATTGGTCTCTTTGTCTGTAAATCAGGATAATTGCGGCATCTAGCTCTGGGGAGGCTTGTGCACACGTGCAGCATGGCGTCTGGCATGCGGTGGGTGTTTAATTGCTGCTAGTGTGCGACCTGGCACCTGGCCGCACTGCACCTCGGGGAGGTCGGGCCAGGAAAGGGCCGCATCCACCCCTCAGCCTCTCCGGTTTCTTCTGGCTCTGCTGCCGTTACCGAGAGCAGGGACGTGCCCACGGGGAAAGGCGGGCTCTGGGTGGGATGGTCCCACCCCGGCTTTCCCTGCTCCCGCACCTGCTCGGAGGCACAGCTCCGCCTAGGACCCTCCACCCGGCCTGACCGTCCTGCGTCTCTCAGCTCAGCTGGGGCCACCCCAGCGCCTGATCCCAGAGCGCCGGCACCCCCGCTGCGTGCGCCTCATGTGTCTCCAGAGCAGGCCGCCCGCCCCCAGGGCTCCCGAGATGACCGGAGTGTCCCCGTCTCTGCCGCCCGACCCACAGACACCCGGGTCACGGAGCTGGGGTCTGGCCGCGTGCTCGGACGGCTGGGTTCACCCTGGGTTCAGGGTGGGCACCCGGCTGGGGCCTGGGATGTCCGCTTGGACCAAGGGGCCTTGGACCCCGTAGAGGACCCAGAAGGGGCCCCCTTGCCATGGGCAAGGGCCTCCTTTGCATCCACACCGTGGAGCTCCAAGCGGGGTCGGGCTGCCCCCGCGAGGCCTCCCTAGAGAAGGGCCCTGATGAACTAGAATCAGACCGGCAGGACGGGGGTGGGGCGGGGGTGGAAGCCCAGCAGGAGGACTCGTGGCCACATCGCAGGCAGGTTAAGTTACTACACGTCACTGTGCGCAGTGACTCTTGAGTGCCCAGAGCAGGCTGGAGGGATGAGGGTGGTTCACACACCCAGCAGGGAGCCAGGCGGCAGGTGGGCCAGGTGAGAGGTCGGGGAGGACTAGGGCAGCCAGGGGCCTGGGCTGCAGCCTCCGAGCTCGGGCATCGGGTGTGGGCTGGCACGGAACAGAATCTCCGTGGAC